ACCATGGGATCATCTCCATATTTATTTCCTATTTCCAATTTTCAAGAAAAGCAATACGGTAACATGTAGCTATTGTAGGGCAAAGTGGCTCAACTGACCAGCTGGAATTGCAGTTTCCGTTAGATAGATAAAATAGTTGTAACCACTGTCGTTTCTAAAGGGTGGGACTGACTAGTAAGAGAGAATGAAGAGTAAGAAGACTTATTCTGCTTGTAGGCCTTATTCTCAGGGTAATCACTCAAGTTATTTTTAGATATAATTCGTCCGTGGATACTGCTACCACGCGCGTGGTGGCATTGATGATGTCTTTGAGGAAACAAAAATGCGTGTAAAGCCGCTTGGGCTGTCCTCCACGTAAGCAATGTTTGACGCTAGGAAGGATCTAAAAATAACTCAAGATGACCAATGTATTCTTATGCGGGGGACTAACTCTCTCACCCTTCATCCTCTCAAAATGCCTGGTACAGTCAAACCTCCGGTACGTAGCGACCACCTCTTGTAAGCGATCAGCTTTCGAAAATACCAAAAGTTTCTAAGTCAAATCACTATATTTGGAACCTCTTGTAAGCGACCACCTCTCCTCAGCGACAAGTTCTCCGAAATACTAAAAGTTTCCAACCCAAATCATTATATTTGGAACCTCTTGAAAGCGACCACTTCTCGTAAGCGATCAGTCCGATTCTCCAAAATACTAAAAGTTTCCAAGTCAAATCACCATATTTGGAACCTCTTATAAGCGACTGTGACCACTATTAGAGCGGAAAGTTTAAATTTTCTTTTGTTTTAACCTCCCGTTAAAAAGAAGTTCTCAAAAGACATTTTTAATTCCGAAATTTGTTACAGATACGATTAATTAGTAATTGGACCTCGTGTCGTACAATTCAGGGAGTAATTTTGAAATTACTCGACGACGACGTTTTTGAACGAGAAACTTTAGGCTTTTCGTTTCCTTTTAATTATTTTTTATCTCCTTTTCTTTTTCTCCTTTTCTTATCCTTTTGCTGCAGTGATTGAACTTCTACTGGGCTTGCTTCCAGTTCAAAAAACTCTGAGAAAGCATCATCGAGACGGGCAATTTTTACCATGGAGTAGCCAAAGGAAATTTTGCTCTGAGTTTTTCACTCAAATTTCTGAGGATTTTCGTGCATATTTCAGGCTCCATGGAGTCGATCACTCTGATCTGGGTATCACTGGAAAGATCTTTTCCTCCTGCAGAAGTTTAGTATAGATGATGCCAAGTTTGGTCAGAGATGATGACGTCAGAAGTGGAACAAAGGCCATTGCTCGCCACGGCCGATTATGGGCGGCACGGGAGTCAAGATGCTATTACATCTTTCTATGTCAAGTATCTGAGTTACTAGCTCGATGCAAAGTGATTGGAAGTAGTGAAATATTAGAAATACTGATGCAATATTGAATTCAGTTCAATTCTTTATTAACACTATAAAGGGCAGTTACACACATTTTATATGTTAAAGTAATGAAAATAGTAAACTATTCTGTTTCCAACATTTTTTATACAGAATTCTCTTTAAATATGTATTAACTGTGTATTTAATACAAGCTAACAATTAAGAACCAACAGACTAACAAACAAAAATTATGTCAAATACAGCACTGTAATTTATAAAATGCTACTTACACAGCCTTCTGTCTACATAATGGTTATGTGCAAATTTTCATAACAGTGCATGGAAAAATATTTTAAATAACAAAGTACCTAATATACAAAAACTTCAATAGCATAAAAAGTTAAAAACTGGGAATCTCTGAAATTTGTTTGCAGAAGGTGCACACCAAAAAGATAACGGACCATACAGGAAGGAGAATTTGTTGATTAACATTGAAGAAGACAGCAGAATTACTTGTTAGGACCTGATCTCATCATGATCAGCTGATGAAGAACTTGAAAGTTTTTTGGTTATTTTCTTTCAAGTTGCACCAATTATTGTGCAATTCATGTATTGGCTTAAAACTATTCAAGACAAAACATTCTTAAAAATACTTTTTTATACACTTTTTTAAAGTTGTCTGAGACTCAAAATGACATTGGATAAAAAATTTAATACTATTTTGAGGCATTATGTATTCTATTATTATTACCACAACACTAGTCATGCAAGCCAGTAGATACAGTCATATGCCACACTTCCCAGGTGCACCAACATGTTGTTTCGGTAAATCATCTGTTCAGAAGGCCTTTAATGCCCTCTCGTTTTCTTAAGAAAATTTCACCTCAAATAAATCCTCAAACTTGTTACAATAAATAATACACCTTAATAATTAGATCATAATATTTATAAATAATAATACAATAAGAAAACACTGCCTTGAGAGACAAAACCTTCCTCCCCAAGTTCAAGACTATAAAAATAAGAAAATGTAGTTTAAAACATTGCATCATTATTACATTTCATCACCAACTAAAGCTCACAATAAAAAAAAAATCATGTACTTAGATAATAGTAGTAGGAATATTGTCTGATGATTGCTGTCAAGATGAGACTGGGTGAGTTTTATCAGCATCTTTGTCAGGCATCTCTGAGGGTTCTTCACTAACATTTCCTGGCAGTGAACCTAGTTTCCGTACCAGTGCCTCGCCAAATGACTGACTGTATCCAGGACTTATTGTGTCTAGCAAGGCATACATTGTTTCATAATATTTGGACTCTATGCCTTTTTGGTTTTTGTCAAACTGATCTCCAACAACCTTGAACAATATAAAAGTGAATTTAAATTAGAGCCTGCAGTATTGAGTGAGTTGTGCTGAATGAAATTTAGTACATGGTTTTGTAACAACAACAACATCTTTATTTTCTGTAACTACTACAGTTAGGGGTTACAAATACAGTTTTCATACCTCTTAGGGTTTTCAGTCTCAAAAGGTCCACAGTGGGAGAATTTGTGGTGCCTTTTGTGTGGTCCCTTTTTTCCCCCCCCCCCCCCCCCCCCCGCCAAGTAAAAAAAAAATGTGACAGTAGGTATGGTGCTGTTTTAGAATTGGTACCTCTTATGGGGGAACAAATTTCAGGCCACACTCACAAAACAGGATCTTGGTACACAGTTGTACCTCTTAGGGTTTTATTTTGGAAATTTCTGACAGGCATCCCGGTCCTTTTTATATGAAAATCCCCACCAGGACTCTCAGCCCATCCTTATATGAATGTTTATAGCCTGCTTAACAGGTGGTCTTGCACTGCTAGTCAAACATAAAACAAATGGCAATACAAAAATACTTTTTATTTTTAATGTGTGGTCTGATGAAAGGACAAGCAGATTGAACAGAGTAAGTAAGGTGCATATATTTTTGTGCAAATTTTTTGAGTTGCTTGTATTTGACTGTTTGTCCAAACTGCATATCAATATTCACTGACATTTGGAAATCTCCAGGCTGCCAGACAGAGTTAACTTTCCATAACAGTTTGACGGGTCGAATTAAGGTCATTCCTCACATTTGCATTGCGCATCCTTACTGCGCATAATTTATGGCGTCATTAGCGTGCGCTTGTGCACGCGCATATTGAAAACATCACGGATTTGCCTTGCTATTGAGCTCTGTCAGCTGAAAAATGGCTCTAGCTCACCAACGAGCACGGGCACCCCAATTTTTTTTCCAGTCATTGTAATCAACTAATCATAAGCTTTGCTTGAGAAAAGACTGAAATAATTTCTATTGCTGAAAATTGAATAAATAAGAAAAATAGCAGATACACTGTGGTCTTTTCTATTTTGCANGTAGGTATGGTGCTGTTTTAGAATTGGTACCTCTTATGGGGGAACAAATTTCAGGCCACACTCACAAAACAGGATCTTGGTACACAGTTGTACCTCTTAGGGTTTTATTTTGGAAATTTCCGACGGGTATCTCGGTCCTTTTTATATGAAAATCCCCACCAGGACTCTCAGCCCATCCTAATATGAATGTTTATAGCCTGCTTAACAGGTGGTCTTGCACTGCCAGTCAAACATAAAACACATGGCAATACAAAAATACTTTTTATTTTTAAAACGTGGTCTGATGAAAGGACAAGCAGATTGAACAGAGTAAGTAAGGTGCATATATTTTTGTGCACATTTTTTGAGTTGCTTGTATTTGACTGTTTGTCCAAACTGTATATCAATATTCACTGATATTTGGAAATCTCCAGGCTGCCGGACAGAGTTAACTTTCCATAACAGTTCGACGGGTCGAATTAAGGTTATTCCTCACATTTGCATTGCGCATCCTTACTACGCATAATTTATGGCGTCATTAGCACGCGCTCGTGCATGCGCATATTGAAAACATGATGGATTTGCCTTGATATTAAGCTCTGTCAGCTGAAAAATGGCTATAGCTCACCAACGAGCACAGGCACTCCAATTTTTTTTCCAGTCATTGTAATCAACTAATCATAAGCTTTGCGTGAGAAAGGTAAGGTAAAGGTAAAGTCTGCATGCGAGCCAAGTGGCCCATCAGGCCGGAGCTTATCCTGGCTTATGTAGCATGAAGCGACTAGGAGTATTTCTACTCCCCCCTGGATGGGATGCTAGTCCATTGCAGGGTTACCCCCAGCATTAAGTTCGCCGATACCC